GAAATGCAGCACCGCATGGTTTACAGCTAAGACACAATCGAAAACGGAAACGACCAAACTGGCTCCAAGTTAGCCCGAAGAAGAAGAAGAGAAAATACGATCTGGTTCAAGCAGTCCGAAAACAGTTTCGAATTGAAAGGGGAGGTAATACGGCTGCGCATCAGCCTACTGCGCAGTGGAACAATCATGTGGAACAGAGCCGTGCGATTATGCCCCCACGTCGGAATGACGTCCGATTTCGTCATGTGCCGGAGAAAGGTCAAATAAGGACACAGAATGTTCACACCCACTCCATGGCCAGGGCACCCCGTACACAAGCGCACAGACGGCCATCTACGCTCAACCGAGAACCAGTGTGGATGTGTGGGAGACACACTGGTTGGTTGACAGCGGATCGACCGTCAAATACGGTGACAAGTGAATCATATATATAGAAGTTTGTAATTGCGTTAATACACAGTTCCTTCAGGTCGTCTTCTTGTCTTCTGACTATAACCCAGTAGCGTCAGGGCAGGTGAAGAGAATACAACACGATCCTAGATGAGCGCAATGCCACAACCCACTCAAGTATCTGAAAACTGGTGGTCCATGCTGTCGGTAACTGACGACAGTTTTATCGATTTGGGTCCGTAGCTGGTAGCAGTTGGGGAACACAATGTAGCCGGTTATTCCGGAATTTGACGCTGCATAAAACCAGTATGTGGTTAGCACAACGCTGAAGTATTCGTTCGTCATTGTCCGAACGTACCGAGTGCAACCCACGTCCACAAACCGAATGAATCTCAGATGCGCTAACTCCGCTCATTTATGCATTCAGATCTCCCGTAACCCTCACAATATATGAGGTTTCAGCCCACCGAAATAGGGCACTAAATGCACCATAGAACTTGTCTTCGACGGTGCCAGCTACAGTCGGTTGGAGTGTAAGGAGACACGACAAACAAGCAACGATCAACTTCGCGCTTGCGAGACTCCTTCATGGATGTTGCCAGACGAGCCACGCAAAGGTATTTACAGTTGGATCCTGAGTCAAGTGACGATCCTTCCGTCCAGCGGCTTAGGACGGAACCGACCTCTGCAAACCCTAGCGCAGCAGCTTCTGGATAACTATAAGTACCTAAGTAGGAGAGAGTGGAGAGTGACGGGGCAGTTCGCCCAGTGGCCATTCCCGCATCTTGAATTCTTGTTCATGGTACACAGCTCGTCAACTCTAGGCGAGTGAAGTTTGGGAGCGAGAGCAACCTGTTGTCCATTACATGGCGGACACTAGCTAGGTAGACCAGGTGTCGATGCTTGAAGGTTTATTTCCAAATTCAACACGTAGATGTCGCGACGAAGACCGACATAAGACAAACAGCGTCGTCAATCCTAACGGATGGGCCTGTAAGAAATACTAATGGGGTGGCTGGAGGGGAAGAAAAAGTATGCAAAAGAGAAAGGAAGCGTCACCAGTTACTTGCTTCCACTTGCCTTCTCTGATGTATGCAGCAAGTGAGGCAAAGTGGCTGATGATATCCCGCGAAGGCTGCTGTGGCACGACAGTGTCTCTAGTCGTATGGAAGTTGGTTGTAAGGCGGTTGATGTACTGCCAGAACGCTCAGACCTCGACAAGATGATGATTGGAGCTCTCGACCAAAGCTTTTAGTTCAAAATCCGGACCGTAACGCAGCGGTATTTGGCAGGAAATGTCAGTGCACTGTACTTTTCAAGGAACAGGTCTACGTGAATGTCCAAACCCTGAACCCGGTGGAACCTCTAACCATTGACGAACCTGGTATGCGATTCTGCATGTTGCAAGGACTGTCCCCAATTCAACTCACTGGGTCAAGGAGTCACGCCAACCACCCCACCATGGTAAGGTCGTCTTCCCTTAATGGATGCAGTGTGAAAAATATCGACTATCTGCGGGTGTGCTGGACAGCTGATCAACCTTGCGACTGGCGAAAATAAACCTAGCCTGGATGGGCGTCGGGAGATAAGGGCACCTCGGAATGGTTGCAGTAAGCTTTCCCATCCACCTTGATTCGTTTGCTCACAATAAGGCTTTCAAGTGAATCATGGCTGTACGGAAGCGAAGCATCGGTGTTGAACACGTGTTCTAACTCACGCGCAAAGGCTTGTCACTGAACGTCATGCTTTGAGAGCAAACCATCGGCGAAGCATCGTGTTGAACACGTGTTCTAACTCACGCGCAAAGGCTTGTCACTGAACGTCATGCTTTGAGAGCAAACCATCGGCTCACATAAAACTGATTGAAAATAGTGAATAAACTTACGACTTCTTGATCCTCAGCAAGAGTTAAATCATACTCGCTCAGTGCTACCACAAAGATAATGGCGGTCACGCCTTCGAAGCAATGCATCCATTTCTTCCTCTCCGTACGCTGACCCCCGACATCAAACATCCTGAGAAAGTTACACAACCGATAGCATGGTACCTGATGTTCAAACCTTTGAAAGTAAAATGAGTTTCCATGATCCCGGTCGTCCTTACTCGTGTGCGCAAAACGTCCTGCTCCGAAGGAATATAGTTCGGGTCTGACAGCCGCTCAACTGCGTTCAGGTAACTAGAAGATATGACATGAGAACTTGAGTGTTACTATGAGGCTGAATCATTTAACTGGAATTCTCTGGACCTAGATATTGCTGTCTGAACCCCAGGGTCACACCATAACCGCATAAGGGCCAGCGACAACTCGCGGGAAAATTCAGTGACATCCGCATTAGCGAAACTGAGTACCAGCATGGCATCCGTCTAGAGAAATCCACAGCGCACATGAGAACACTTACATTGCGTTCTTCATTCGCAAAGCTTATGTCTAGATGCTCCATGCCTCGCAATATTGCCATCATGCTCTGCACCGTATTATTAAACACCACAGGTCTGTACTTCATACACTCCTCTTTTGAGTAGCCATTCTGATGTATAATTCTGAAATGTTAAAATCTGCTTGGGGAATTTACTTCATTTGTTTAACTATGGTGCTCTTTCCTGACTCTCCAGCACCCAGTAAAAGCAGCTTTGCTTGCTTTGAAGTTGCTTCTCCATCAGCTTTCAAGGTTTTGTCAATTGTTTTCGAACGGGCTAGTGCAGCCTTTGCTTCTTTGCTGCCAACGCAACCCATGGACCACCAGAGTTCGTACTGTCCAACGTTCTCAGCGGTGGACCAAAGGCATATCTCACATATGATTGGTTGTGCAGTAATCGGTGAGGAATGTCTGAACGGTTGGTAAGTTGCTCTCAGTCTGACGCTGTCAATCGCTTTCCAAGTTCAAATAACTCATTTCATTTTGAAAGTCTCCATTACTTGGTTACATATTTTATTACCAACAACCTCGAAGCGTGAATGAACAACCTCATCAGTTTGGTTATACTATTCGTAAGGTTAACTAATTTGAAGAGGAAAGATCGGCCTCCGCGATAGGATAAGCAGGCCGCTGGGATCATATCTTAGTGAGCGGTATTAAAATAGTAAAAAAGGAGACCTGATCAGAAGAAAACTTCCGACTTTTTCCAATCCATGGACCTTCAAGATAGGAATAGATGTAGGCCCGAGACTAATGGAGAATGTGAGTGAAAAAGTAATATATGATAGTTAAAGGGAAAATTGTGTAGCCCCGTAATCTGGCCCAGCGAACTCATCACATGCAATCTTGGCAAGAGGCAACCACGAACAGCCCCTAGTCAACTTGCACAATACAAACCCCTTCAGCGCTTGAGAACCAAATGAGGTCCATCAAGAGGTCCTGGGGGAAACATCAGCCCCACCAGATAAGCAGTTCCACCAAATATTTCGTCAGTAGCTCAATAAAAGCGGTCTGCTCTTTGCTTGGAAGGAAACGATTGTCAAACCGATCCACAAGCCTGATGACCACTTTTCGTCCGGCAACTACGGGCCTCACTAGCATACCATGGGAGGTGGTGAAACGCATTCTTAAGCGGGACACTATAAATCACCTTACTGTTTACAGCTTCATATCTACAAAGCGGAACGTAGTACGCCTAAACCACCCTCACGCAAACAGGTTCCTCGTACTATTGATCAGCTTAACCCAAGCTGAAACGAAGGATATATATATAAGATGCAATGTTTTTCGGCTCCCCAAAAGTACTCGAAGAGGGCCCACACGGCGCATCGCACCACAAACTCGAGTCTTGTGGGATTCAAAAAGAAATTCTGCTCTCGATAAGTACGTTCATATCAGATGGTCTTCTTGAGTGAAAACTGGGTCAACCCACTTTCCTTCTGCACTGGTCTCCATCGGAGTTCTCCATTTTAGGCCCACGCCACTTCCTGATCTATGGTAACTACTTTCCAGATTTGATTTCAGGTCTATGTCTGCTTCATTGCGGACAAGGTCAAATTACATGTTTGACCGAAAATACACACTAAGGCGACCATCCATTATGAGATACAAGTTGATTAGGTACAGGAATCCGTATTGTTTGTTCTGATTTATACGAAAGTTTTTCTAAGAACGGAATTATCGATGCATACTCCATAGCAAACGGATCATCGATACCCGCTTCTGTCATGCCAGGGAATAGCACCTACTTGGTCGCTGAGATTCAACCCATTATAGCAAATTTTCCTGTAGAAAAAGACGAAGAAGGAGAAAATTTGACATTCATTTGGTTGCGCCAAAGAACGAAATGCAGTCGTTAACGCATGCGGTGAGGAGGGCTGTCCTGTTTATTTACTTATATGCCACGGTCGTTAGTGTCGACTATTACGAGCATACAGGCAACCCCATTTATTGGCTTTCCAGTGTAAATGCGCCTGCACCAATTTGTACACGCTGAACGCATAATAAATCGATGATGTGAGCATCTCCCTGGAATTGTCTTTATACTTAGCCTCCGATTAACTGTAATGGTGGGCATGATGTATGCCCGTTTCTTCCAAAATCCTCACACTCTGGACTCAAATTCCTCGAGCGAACGACACTCACGATGGGGAATGTATCCCAGCATCCGAATTGCTATATTACGTTAATCTAATGATACGTCCTGTAATCATTGAAGATACTCCATTACAGTTACAGCTTACTTGACAAAATTACACAGTTGTTGAGGTCGGCACAGGAAGCGCCGGCTTTATCGTGGTTGACGATGAGCCAGACCCGTTTAGCATGACGTCAACAAGATTCGGAATGCATGTGAAACACGCAAGGAATGATTGTTTGCAGCTTCGCACCGGCCTCATATCATCCAAAATATAGCTACTACAGCCTTGAGATGCTGGCAGCTTGGTCCAGAGCGCAAGATGCTATCTCTGCCTCGCATGATTTCTCCATGAACACGGTAAAAATTCCTGTAGAAAATCCGAGTTCTCGGCGAGGTTTCCTTTGTATTGCTTTTGGACCCAAATTAGAGCACCCGATTGCAAGCGGCATAGAAAATAGCTTTCTACGGTTGCGGCAGGCGTTTTGCCAAACAAAATCAAGAAATTTGTCACAGCCAGTGAGATTTTATTTTACGATAATTGGTACATGGTCTATCGGGTGAACGGCAAGGTTTTAACTCTTGATGGTCACATTGAAAGGATTAGTGGGTTTATGGGCATAACATGCTAGCCGTAAAATGGTATGGCCAGTGCTCTGAAGTTCTGGCACAGATTAAACTGTTTGGGAGGGTCTTGGTGCATGTAACGCTCAATAAAGAAATATAAATAATGCGGTAAAACACAAGCAGGCTATCAGACTAGATATGGGACTTGTGATACCATCACCGCCAAGTCGTCCTAGAGTTTGTGGGCAACCCCGCACATGAAATCTTGGGGAAACAAGTTGAATTTGTCTTGGTGGTTTCCAAAGAAACGTAACAACATAAGACCAGCATCGAATAGGGCCATTTTCAGACCTTTTGAGTACTTGCAGTGGTTCATTGCTGCCATTCAAGGGGGGCAATAAGGCAACCGTGCCTATATTGGGGGTCGAAAATAGGGAAAGGCGTCACAGCGTCTGCTGGAGTATACTAAGATATACATTATCCTTCGGCCCAAAATGGCATGCAGCCAAAGTGGTCACAAATTCCAACTACTGCAGTGAGGCGACATTGTCAGATTTCAAAAATAGTGATCGATATTCCGGTGTGTATATGAGTCCTGTTGTCAATGCGAATGAGTGTACGTGTTGGTGATTATAAGGGACGTGCGTTAGCTTAATTGTGCTCGGCTGAGTAGGCCAAAACTTGGATGCACTTGGGATATCTGGTGTTGTTGCCTGTTCGTACGAGAGCGGGTCACAAAATGACACAGTTACAGCAGAAAATGGCAGGAGGTCATTGCAAACCGAGTCGTTTATAGGGCGTCAGTTTGTATTTAGTATGTATTTAGTGTATTTAGTGTGTTATTGTTAACAATAATGAATGCGTGATTCATTGTAAAAGTTTCCCCAAATATATGCCTTGACCAGGACAAGTTGGGGTCGGTGCCATACGCTTCTGGCAAAGTTGTCCCCATTTAATTTTCTCGTTCCTCGGTTGCACGATTTAGAGTGCGAGTTTCGGAATATATTAGGATTGTCTGTGAGGAGGTGATGACCATGGGGTCTTTCGCAGTGGTAAGGAGAGAAGATGCTGAAGAGGTGCAGATCGTGTGCAGATGGTGCGTAAAGATTCGGATGTTTATGACTAGCACGCGCCGTCAGGCGCTGGAACAACGCCAAACATATCAAAAACCCACAAGTCTGATATTCTTGGTTTTCCAAGGCACATTCGACTCGGATAGTCTTGGCACGCTTGTCCATCCCGGAATTTTTCGAACATAATTTCTTTAATAATAATGGTAGTGTTTATTCCGAACTAGTATGTAACATACCGTCAGGGATGGTCATACGTTTGCAGTCGGAACAAAGCATTATTTAGGGACTTGCAGGTACCGAAGAGTGCGTGAAGAAGAGGACAATGGCGTAAACAGTGAGTAATATCTGATGGAAATAATAGTAGGTTTATTTCCCAACTTGTAGGGGCATGCTGACTGGGGCATGGCCGGGTAGCTACAACCTGAACGCAGCAGGCAACAACACGACGGAGAGGAAGGTGCAACCAAGGAGGCATGCTTACTACATAAAAAGTCATCGCAGTTGCAGGAACCGAGAAAAATTAGGACATTGGGCGTCATTATATCTCGCCAAACATTTCATACACATAGTGGTATCAGTCAAAATGGCATTATATAACCATTCTTATTTAGTGGCGTTATTATAGTTGGATAATGAGAGGACCACTGAAGGGTCCCAAAAACGGCGGAGTTCGGATGGCCTGTGGCCGAAACCTTGTCGGTCTTGAATATGAGGACAACACCGTTCTCGTCTTCTAAGCGGAGGAGAAGGCACAGTTTTCTTAGTGGACTAACCAACGACATCCCGTCCTTTGGTGTGCACTTTGCACCCAACTAGTGAAGGTTATTGGTCCTGGGCATGTCACCCACGTTCCATCGGGAGCATCAAAAATTTGCGGGGCCTCTTCTACAAATTAATAGTTGTGTTACTATTGATTTTAGTGAGACACAACGCACAACCTGCAGAGCTCGGTTCGATTTTGCTGACTTGAAACACCTATAGCGTCAGAGCGGTGTGTCTCCGACCCTCGAGTAACGTGTGTATCAGGCTACAGTAAGGGTTGTGCTTTTGTATGACTGTGAGAGTTGACCCGTTTAAGCAAGCAAACTGAGGTACCTCCAGGTGTTCAAAAACCGATATCTGAGGGCCAACTGTGAGAGTTGACCCGTTTAAGCAGTGGAACTGAGGTACCTCCAGGTGTTCAAAAACCGATATCTGAGGGCCATATTCGTGTCACTGAGGCAATTAGAAAACAAGTTTTCGGTTGTGCAACAGGAACTCCTATTGATGAATGTGTCCTGTGCCAAGAGCATTGTTGTTTAGGCCATGTGTTGCACACACAGGAACACCGTTTCTTGAAGAGAACAGTTTTCTCTGACCAATTCAGGGTAGTGAAAGCAAAATGGTGGCCCACCCGTGACCTGGCAATGGGGTTTGAAAGGAACCACGAAGCGTTTGGATACTTAGGTGCTAGTCTCCTCCCGGGACAAGGATGCCTAATTTCCAACACGCCTGCTTGTAGACGACGCAAGATATGCCTACTGATCGATGCAACTGGCGT